AAGGAGCCGTCCCTTTGTTATTTCAGTGGAACAACTTCTGAGTTCAGCCTGAAAGAGCCAGCAGACCAGAGCCTGACATCCGAGCAGCTGAGCCGCCTATGCGATGCACAGTGATCACTTATGCTGATCACGATTATTGCTCTGTCCCAGAACCAGCTGGCCTGGACATGGCAATAAATAAAAATGAGAAATTAAAACAAGAAATAAAAGCCCTAACTAACCAGATTAAAGAACTGAAAATTCAATCTGCCTTTGGATTACAAAGGTTCGCCGGGTCTGACGATGACATCCGATTTTACACAAGGTAAGCTAAGCTAACACCGCAACAAACCTTTTTCCTTTTAAAATTTGGGTTACTCGCCCCACCTCTGGTTTCTTAATTAAATATGTCTGAACTCAAAAGTAAGCTAAACACTTACATTTCGTGTTAAAGTCACACTTGTTTGGTGACAAGTGTTATTGTTTAGAAGTGATTTGTATTTGCTGAACCTGCTGCGCTATATGGATATCGCGTGAAAATAAAAAGTATGTGACGTTACTGAAAGTATTTTTGCGTTTTTATAACAAAAGACAAGAATAATTGCAATCTACTGCTTTAGTTTCAAAAGATGTTTAACTTTTTAAATTCAATTTATTGGAGGTTTGGAGGTCGTCTTGAATAAGTAAAAGTTGTGATTACTTTATCCACTTTTCCATAAAATAAAAAATAAAAAAATTGCAATGTTACTGTGTTGTGAACCAACAAATTTGCAAGTTATCGTCACTTCATGATGTGTTGAGGGAAGCGGTGAAGCTGTAACTGTTGTCAGAGCAGCACACGGTTTGTATCTGCTGCTTCCTCAAGTACACATTGTGTATTCAATAAGATATTTTTACTACAGATTATGCAGGAATGTTATCTTCAGAAAGTGCTGCTTGCATATCATTATCACAAGTTTCTGATAATTATTGAGCAGGTATGTAATATATTTCATTATGTTGAGGTAAGGGTTAAATAAGTGAAAATAAGTAGGAAGAAATGAGAAAACCAAAAAGTAGTGGTAAGCTAATTATTCTGTTCTTGGTTATGCATATATACATTTTCTCTAGTTCTACTGGTTACATTTCTTTATAAAAAAAAAACCTCTCTGAAATAAATGAGTAAATAAATATGGATCTTTACATATTTTGAATGTATTTCTGCTTTTTCTTTCATCAGAGGCATTCTTTGCAACCCATTGATGAACTGTTCCTGTTCCAGATGTACTTGGCTTAAGGAAAGAGACCTAGCAAACCGGTTTAATATTCACCTTTCTACTGTAAGCTGCATTATTTATTCATGGACCAATTATTTGTACACTCTTTTGGGTTCTTTATGTATCTGGATTGATAGAGAGGACATCCGAGCTCAGCTCCCTGCTGATTTCAAAGATTTTCCTGATATTCAAGTGATAGTAGATTGTACTGAGCTCAAATGTCAAACTCCTGCTTCTCCTCTCCTCCAAAGTGAGATGTTCTCCAAATACAAATCTCACTGCACAATGAAAGGTCTGATCGGAATGGCAGTGACCTTTGTTTCTTCACTCTATGAGGGGTCAATAAGTGACAAAGAGCTGTTCATGATAAAGTATTACATCAACCAATGGGGTTGATTGTCCCGCCCCTTTCACTCCTGCGCTGTGATTCTGCTCAGAACGCGTCAGAGGCGGTTGAGAACTCACAGCTAACCGTTGTTTTTGTTAGAGCCTGAAAGAGCTTATAAAATCTGGACAAACGGTAAGGAAAACAATATTAGTATAATTTCGCAAAATATATAATTGAAAATAGTAAATTCGGTTTTATTGTTTTGTTTTTTTTTAATCTCTGGAAGTTTCTTTTGAGAGCAGCTGTGACTGGGGGAAAAAATCCCGTTAGCGTCAGACAGCGTCAGAGCGTTGGTGAGTGACCGCACGCGCTCGGCAGTTGGCTCAGGAAATTGGTTGAAAATTGGCAAAAATACTAATATCTGACCAAATTTAATAAAAATAAAATAGTACAGTAAGATTTTGTGGTATTATTGTTGTGTATATAATATATATTTTTTTGTGTAGTTGTACTTATTTTTCTTTTAGTACATGTCCTAATCGTTCAACGGTTCTATTTCAGTTAAGTGCTTTTTCTGTTAGCATTACAATAAATTTATAGTGTTGTAGATGTACAGGCAATTTTAGATTAAAATATATTATTATTATTATTATAATATTATTTTTCTTTACCACATATTAAGCTAATTTTCTTTTTTCCGTTTTGAAACAAACAATCAAAAATCAAAAAGGGCACCAGGGGCAGCTTTCGCTGCATGGGTGTTAAAGTTTTATAACAATATTTTTGAAGTGCCATCATGACAATAATAAGTGACTATAATCACTATTATTACATATTTTTTGGTAACTCTATGACTATGTGTTTCATAGCAATAACAGCTAGAAATATTGTTCTTGAAAAATATACCATTTAATACGCTTCTTTGAGACACCAGTAACATAAAGAATAGTGATCGGTATTACTTTACTGTTAGCTTTGGTTTTTTTTAAATATTATCAATTGGAATTTATCGTGCCGTCGATAAATCTAAATTCTTTTTCTGATAAATTTACCATGATAAATGTCCACTACCACTTGTACGTAACTTTTCTGAAACATGCAAGAGCTCATTTTAGGTCAATTATTTCTTAATATAGATTAAAAGGTTCTAGGTCCAATGCCAGATTTTTTTACTCATAACATTGGAAAAATATCTTGCTATTTGATCTAATCTGCCAATGGAAGTAGTACTTTTATCAATATTCAAGGATTTTTAACTTAAAACATCTTGCTGAAAAGCTACTTGTAAAATAGTGTTGTCTTATTTCAAGGGTACTAAGATGTTTGAAACTACACAAAAATGCTTCGTAGGATTTAGTGTTTTACAGTGTTTATGATGTCTCTGATATACAAACATGTTTGTGTTTCAAAACATCAGTTCATATCCAACCAGTTCTTCAAACCTAAGCACTGTTTTATTGCAAGGATTTACATTTTGACAGAAATGTTAGTCGGCGTGTGTTTTCCCCTCGGCTTTGGCATTGGATACTTTGTCACAACAGGGATGAGGAAAGGTTGTGATAAATTTTCTCCCATTTTTTTCCAGGTAGCAAAGACAAAAGAGGTGACTTGAAGGACGAGAGCATTTCTTCTGGGTACAATCTTTTTGACCCTTCCAACAACGAGTTACAATAAGTTTGATTCTTTTCTGTTTGATCCTCCTATTGCTGGGGAAGTTTGCTTTTTGATTACGACATTTTTTCTTCTTTTCTTTTCGATCCGTCCCCGACTGGGGAGGTTTGCTTCTCGGGTAACAAAACTTTTTATTCTTTTCTTTTCGATCCATCCCCATCTGACCGCCCCAGACTCCCCTGGCTGTGGAGGTTTACTTCTCCCATAACGACATTTTTGATCCGTTTCTTGTTGATCCTTCCCCAGCTGGGAAGTTTGCTTTAAAAAACAGACGGTCGAGTCTGAAGACTCAATTTTGGTTTTAAAGACGACGACATTTGGAGACAGCATTCCAGAAGAGAGCGCAGTCCAAAGGAACGATTTCAACAAGAATGAGGCTGAATGAGTTACCACTGAGGATACAGAAAATGAGTTTTCCCACCAAAATAACATATGGGAACCATTGTTATTATTTTTTTACTTTTGATAATTTTGCACTCCCTTGTTCATTTTCTGTGGTGGTGTTTTAACTATTTCTTAGTTGTTTATTTTTTCATTGGACTTCTTTATTTGTTGGAGAGTGACACATTTTGAGTTAATTTTAAATTGAATTTCAACCGGTAAAATATATTTACCGATTGAAATTCAATTTCCTGTTTCAGGTTAAATTAAAAGACTTGAATCCCAAAGAAAATTGTCGTAGCTCATCAAGATTTTTCAAAGAGTCATCAAAGATGGTGATGGGTGTTGACAGGAAAGATCTCCTGAAGCGGTCTGTGCCACACTGAGCCTGAAGAAGCCTCTGACTGAAGACGCTGTTGCTCTTCTCTCCCAAGACAGGCTTGTGAAGAAGATGGTCAGGATTGTCTAGAAATTTCTTGATCCTATGAAGAATCTTTCTCTGCATTGCCATCTCCAGAGGTTCCACAGATGTCCCCAGAACAGAACCAGCCTTCTTTACCAAACTTTTTAGGTCCCTGGGATTGATGCTGCCCCAACAGATGATGCTCTCAACATCAGACTTCCTCCAGACGTCCAGTCTTCTCTGTGCCTTCTTATAGAAACTTCACTGTTGCGTCTTCAGTCCAGAAAACACCGAGGTCTTTATATTCCTCAACTTCTTCTGCCATGATGGAAAAAAGCTTTGATCTAATCCTGTTCTGCCTGAAATCTACAATCATCTCTTCAGGTTGGTTGTTTCAGGTTCTCTCTGGTGCGCCGGCTTCTTCCACATAATTAATATCTCTCTCTAAATTAAAAGTCAATATATAATTCATATATTTATAAATATAATTAGATATATTTTAAAGCCGCAAGCTCCGGCATGTTGGCCACCGCGGGGTTTCTGGCACCACCGCCCACCAGCCACCGCAGAATCTGTCGTGCAGTTTAAGCGACCGTCCACCAGGCGATACATATCGATGCATTTGGTAGCGCTCCCCGACGACACATACAAAATCTGGTGCAGATCGGCCAATGAAGCGAGGGGATGTAGCTGGTGGTCTAACTTGGGGGCGCAGTGGAGTCAAAATACATTTCAATGCTGTTGGGCTCTTTGGAGGTGAACGAAGGTCATCCATATCCAGTTTGGTGCCAATCGGATTTGCACATGGCAAGAGACTGCAATTCGCCATTTGGCCACTGCCACACGGTTCAGCCAGCACCCAGTATTGACAGAGTTCATCATCACACCATTTTATGTCAGTTTGTACAGGAATACCCCCATATAAATAATAGAGTAAAAGTAAAACCTACAGCAGAAAAAACATGTGACTTCCTGTCGGAAATGGGCGGGGCTAAGGTGATGTCATCAATTGAACATGACACGTTAAACCCATAAAATATCACAGTAAACAACGAATAATCAGTGATTGATTTCAAACTCAGGCCAGTAAACCTGGTCTCCCTCTCACGAATTCACCTTATCAATATTTAAACCAGTGAATGAAAAAATATTCTTTCCCATAATTTGATAGTTAGAGGCGCAGATCCTCCTCCTCACCGTGAACCCGGAGTCTGAACAACATGGAGGAAGAGAAACTGAGTCATTATTGGACTGAAAGCAACCAGACTAGTTTATTTTTGCGAAATTATTATATTTAAATAAATATTATTGCTGAGGGCCACAAGCAGGCCTTCTGATGCACAGATTAATAATAATTTAAAACACTAAAAATAAAATAAAAAAGAGGACTAGGGGCATCAAACGTAAAAGGGACAGGGGCTCAAGCCCCCTCTACACCCCCTCTGCACGTGCCTGCTGAACAGCTAAAAACACTGGCAGAGCAGTCATTGTTTTTTGCCCTCGACAGGATGATGGGCGGGGGTTCCTTAGCAAGTTTGCAGGGGTCCAATCAAGATAACTTCAATTATAAGTTAGCTTGGTCTTGTTTCAAGTGTTTGTACTTTGTAAGATTCGGTGTTTGAGCAGTATGGAGTTTTCAGAAGCTCTCAATGAAACGAGCTCTTCCTTCTCTGTGGTTTAAAGCTGTAAGCGGAGTAATGCATCCACGAATTGACGAACCACAGCATCTTCCTCAGGCTCAGGGAGACGACGGGCAGCGTGGACAGGTACGTCTGCTGCTCAAAGAGTCTGGCGTGCAGCAAACTCACGAGCTCCAGCAGCACCAGCCCCCACGTCAGACTGCAGCACAGCCGGGCCCACTGGGACGTCCTGAACCTCCGGGTCTGCAGCGGCCAGTGGGACAGCAGCGTGACCTCCAGCCCCAGCAGCCCCAGCAGGAGCAGCGAGGCCAGATGGTGGGCTTCCAGCAGCTGCTCGCTGAGCGCGCTCAGGGCCCGGCTCTGTCTCGCCTCCTTCTCCTCCTCGGCCCACATTCCCACAGCCAGTCCCAGCCGGATGAGCCAGCGCAGCAGCACAAGTGCGTCCGTCCGGGCCAGCTGGAGCAGGAAGACGGCGGACGGCTTGGTGGAGATGTGAGGGGAGCGGAGCAGCTGCAGAGCCCGCAGGCTGAACACGCAGCCGACCAGCAGGGGGAGCTCGTCGCCGTAGGGAAAGAGCAGCACGGTGACCAGCTTGAGCACGAGGAAGCGCCGCAGCCAGTCTCTGGAGGAGGAGAGGACTCCCTCTGTGCCCGAACCGGGCCAGCACCGCGAGCTCAGCTGCCACACCGACTTCAAGGCTTCGTGAGATCTGCACACAGTTCGGACCGATGTTAGTTTGTAGGTCGTAATGTTAACTGTCAACATTAAACACATGAAACTGAAAAATAGCAGCCTACCATCAAAAAGATATCCTCTGTCCACATATATAAGTACACACATGTATATACATGTATAGTATTTTAATTTTATTAATGCAAAGGTACTTACATTTTACAGTAAACTTCAGTGTTTTTTAAATTATTTCATACAATGGACCAACTCAAATAATGTTTTATAGCTTTAGAGTTATTTTATGATTGGGAAAAAAAGTGACCTGTATTTGATTTTAGACACCTGAGCAGAATTGGGTAGCAACAACCCACAGGAAAAGGTTGATCTTAAGGGCAACGACTGATGGTGGATCAACCAACAAATCATCAATCATCCAATTCTAGCCAATTAACCAATCTTGAAAAGATGTCGTCGATGAATCAATGTTGTTTTGTGGTTGAACTCTTGAGATTGAAATGTAAGAACACATAATTGCAGCTGGATTGCAATTAAAAGTAAACATTTTCACCCTCTGCTATAGTTTAAAACTGTATATTTATCTGCAGTAAAAGAATTTGTACCTTTAAGACCTGAAGTGACTCAAACCTCTCATTCCGATGGTCTAGCTAATAGTATTTCAAGCATATATTAAAGTAAAAAAATATGGAAATGTATTAGTGTTTAGTTGGTAGTGTTGGGTTTATCAGACAGTTTTGAACTGTTAGGTTAAAGTGCAGCTGCATAAATCAGGTTATTGTACAGCAACAGACGCTCAACTCGTCCAGGGTTTTTATCCCTGAAAATTTGAGGAAGAAATGCTTAAAAGTTGGAGATGATGCCTTGGGACGTTTTCAGCAGTTCTACAGGTGAGAACATGAGGTTGGTTAGATTAAATCAACAATCTCAACGTCTCCCCACACTTCCTTGTCCGAGGTCACGCCAACTTTCCATCTTCCCAACCTCTAGATCAACTCCCCGCCATGGTCGTTATTTTCAACAACTTCGTCTTCCTCTAGGCTGCTTATTAGAACTCACCTGTGTAGAGGAGGTAGGTCAAGGTCAAAGCTCACCATTCTTGTTTCACAACTTCTCCACAATAACCATAATTCCAGGGTGGCTGTGTGGCAAATAAAAGTGTGAGGAACCTTCTCTGCTTTGTCTCTGCAACTGTGACTCCACCTGAACAGCCTGGGCGCCTGCGGAGCAAAACCAGTCTACAAGTGACTCATGATTGTGCAAAAAAAAAAAAAAGATTTATGCCAGAGGCTTCTCCTCCACTCAGCTGGCATCTGCGCGGGCTTGTGTCGGTTTTCCAGGTAACTCTTAAAAAAGGAGGAAGGAGCTGCGATTGGAGCTGGAACAGCCACAGAGGGAACGCCGACCTTCAGCTGTGAACTGCTACTAGAAATTAATTTTCCCCAGGTCATCAACTGGAAATAATGCAGAGTACAGAGCAAGAGACATGATGAGTTTTATTGCTGTCTCGTCTTATTTTGACTGTTTGCACCTCAGGGCACAACAGTTGTATCCACAACAAAGAGGATGCGATTACAGTTCAGTGGCTAAACATGACGTGGCTGTCATTCTAAAATGACTAACCATTCTGCTTACTGTGGCACAGTATAAGTGTCAACAGGCCTCCCTAACCTCACATCTCTGAGGTTATCTGACATCATGCAATGTAGAGCCTCCGTCCTTCAGCTCTTTGCTGCATTCCTCTTGCCACACACCTGAACTACATGAATGACTCACTTCCACGACTGCAGAACAGGTTGACGCCCTAACGAAGGAATTCAGCCATTTGACTTGGTTGTGTTTCAGAAGGGATGCATCAAGGAGTTGTAGTCGTAACCCTTGAGCCCATTAGCTGGATCACACAATCCATCACTTTGCCCGTAGTCCACCCCCTAATATTGACTGGACTCACCTGAGTCTGTTTACACATGAGGAAGTTTGCTCCTTAAGTTCCGCTAAGCAAGAACTAGAACCAGTTCACCAACACCTGGCTGGTCCATAGCAAACCACTTGAGTAATGGTATTCAAAAAAAAATTTTGCTTGTTTTTTGGAGCTTATGTATATGAGTAGAAGACTTTGTTATTTCCCATGTTTCAAATGGTTAATCCAGTTAAGTTAAACTAGTTTGAGTTGAGCTGAATTAAGTTGGGTTGGGTGAAGCTGGTTTGAGTTAGGTTGAGTTGAGTTTGGGTTACGTTGGATTGTGTTAAGTTGAGCTAAGTTCAGTTAAAACAAGTTGAATTACCTGGTATTTTATTAATCCAGACGGAATTATGAGCTAAACCGCCCATAAAGAGTTTAAAAACATTAAAACATAATAAAAGGCGCATTAAAGACATAAAAACTACCACAAAGAGAAACAATCAAGACATTAAAAGCCCACATTTCCCACCCTTCCCCTTTGCAGTTGAAAGCCCAAAGCGAGGGCCCTTGAGGGCCAAAGAGGCCACCAGTAGTGTCCTGTCTGAAAATGAAGAGCCTGCAGTGTGTCTCTAAGCCAGAGCGGCAGACTGAATGGGTCGGCACACCAGGGTGAGAATACACCTGTTCCCTTGAGTTACTGAGACTTGAGCACGTCAGAACCTGAAAATGGCCCAGTCTTCTTGTGACGAGCAGGTCCCCTGGAATCCAAAATTAGTCTTTTTTATTCTTACAGTTTGCCACATGAAACATTTGAAATCTTCCATTTCCCAGCCTAATTTATGTTCTCAAATTAAAACCAATCCTAAATCTCCTTCTAATAATAAAAGTTTTTGGACAAGGCATGCTAAAAGCAAATCATCTTTCTTCTTAGTCCAAGCAGGAGCAAAGTGAACGCTATTCAAAGCCCCACAGCCTGAGGCTTTGATCAGCTGAACCATGACTGACATTATCATTATCACAGAAAAAAACAATTTCCCTTTTTTAACCCATTAAACAAATGATGTGAAGCTTAGAATACAGTTTTGTCGTGCATATAGTAATCAGTGTCCATCTTACTTTCCTGCATATTGACCTGTCAATGGTACACAGACTTGGACTGGTGTTAGGTGGGATTACTTGTTATAACCTCTGGTAAAAACTGTGTTCTATTAGCGTAAGCCAATAAACCAAAAAATTATGGTATACAAATTACAGAGATTACTGCTGAGTGCCTGAAACATGAACACATGGCGTTGAAACACGTTCAGACGGTGTGAGCTGTTTACACTATCTATAATCACAGTGGTGTGTTAATATTAGGAAAAGCACTTGAAGAAAAGCAGTTCTGTGTCAAGGCTTGCCGAGCTGACTTAGCTTTTGATGTGTGTATCTGCTGAGGTGAATTAGATCGAGGTTAGTTTACTGAATCACTGAGTGACGGCTTGATTTGGACCACTGCCCCGAGGACCCAAGACAAAAGAATGTAAACAGACAGGAGTGTCAGAATATGCGGAATATTTTCAGTTTCACTGGTGTTTATGGCTGATGGTTTACTAATGACAGATTTCCCAGTAATCGTCACGCCACATTCCTCCCATCTCCTATATGAGACACAAACAAGTGCATGAGGACTTGTGTTTTTTCCTTATGTTTATTTTTCACAATCCAGTTTTTAAACATGTAAAAGCAAAGCGTGGACGTAAAGTTTTCCTCGTTTTTTGGGGGAAGGGGTGCATCTTATTTTGTATATTATTGCTAATTTGTGTTCCAGATCAACACAAAGCATAAAACAAATTATCAGTGAATAAACACCATCAGACAGGTCAGGAACAATATGGAAGATACATAGAAGAATAAAGTTATAAAACAATATCCCAAGCTCTGTTTCATCTGTTATTACTGAGAAAGAATACTTCGAGACTGTTAACTTAAACAGAAAGGGAGAACAGCATTAATCAGAGAAGAGGCTTGTGGTAGCTCTGAAACATTTCAACTTTGATAAAAAAGAAAAAAAAAGTCCATAAATCCGACCTTAATGCAGTGCTTCTCAAATAGTGGGGCGGGCCCCCTTTGGGGGGCGCGGTGCGATACCTGGGGGGGCGCGTGTGATCCTGGGGAACAGGCTTTTTTTTGGCCGAACTAGTATAAAGTGTAATTTCGCACAGTAGGCGGCAGTGGCGCTCTCATTGTTACTTCTGTCACGTTTGCGACAGTGCAACATTTTACGACTTACAAGACAACAGGTTTGCCTTGGTTAGCAGTGTTAAGTCAACTAAAAGCTCCGACTGCGTTCTGTCTATGGCCTCCGTTATTCAACAACCCCCAACATAAAAAGTTTTTCACAGGGATGAAAAGAAAAGCGGAGAGAGACAAAGATAATGAGACAACAGAAAGTCAACCGAAAGCTAAGAAGAGGAAATACGACGAAGCGTATTTAGCGCTTGGCTTCACTGTGACTACAGTTGGAGAAGAGGAAAGACCGGTGTGTTTGCTGTGTCTAAAAATGCTCGCAGTGGACAGCATGAAGCCAAATAAATTAGCGCGTCACTTAAATACGTTACATCCCAATCACGCCGATAAGCCGCTAGAGTTTTTTCAGCGAAAAAAATGTTAATAAGGAAAAAATGTTATGCAGAGATGGATAGTCACGGTGGGGAGTGGGGGGCGCGAATAGTTTTCTTCTTGCTAGGGGGGGCGTAACGGAAAATAATTGAGAAGCACTGCCTTAATGGAAGAGTGGCAAGAAGAAAACCACATAAACTCCCATTTAAAATGTTCCACAAGAAGAAAGACACTCTGGTCAGATGGGATCAAAATGTTACCTTGTGACGAACAAACAACATCGTTTTGCGGTCCTCGAAAGTTAAGTATTGAAGAAATAAATTAGTGAGTGCACATTATATAATTACATATATATCAGATTATAACAACAATACAATACACCCACCCCCTTCACAAAATAGTTTGAGCATTCGCATTTCAAAAGAAGTTGAAAACACTGAAAATTGACAATGTGGTAAATGATAATACAGCCAAATGGTTAAGAACTCTTAAAAGATTAAGCAAAAATAATCAATAGTTTTTTGTTTATTTTTTAGCAAGATTTTAGATAGTTTTATTTATTTTATCAAAATAACCAATGGGCAATAATGGGACCTAAAAACAAATCCTAGCAGAAAATTTAGCAACTTAGTTTTCTCTCTCACTTTGGTTGGCTGAATGTCAGAATCTCCTGCAGACTTTGTCTCTTCTTCCACCTGGCTGCCCAGTGTTGGCATCTTTTCAGTGGAAGAATTTTCCTGCTGTTCTGGTGTTGGAGCAACCTTCACCGAATGTTTATGTTTATTATTCTGGTGCACCTAAAAAAATGCCACCACAATTTTTAGTTTATTTATAACTAAAATATTTTCAGGTACAATTTATTCTATTTTCTAAAAGATGCGCTGATCCCGGACGAGCCCCCACCATCTGTTAATTTTTCTGCTTAAACGAGAAAGTAACGAAAACGGATCTGGGCTCTGCGATAACCGACTGCAAAGTGTTAAGTCACGTTTCATGTTTTAAAGTATTGGGTAAAATAGGGGGCATAGGTTGCCGTGACGTCAAACTACGCATAAACAAGTCATTGTTTGACAGTTACAAAATACGTTGGATAAATGTGCAAAACATAGTTGTGGTGTTCTGTATTTGTAGACGTCCGTGTTTAATGTGATTTCAATAAAAACCTGTTTCCCTATGTGATACTGTTTTATTCTGACAAACACCTCTGTATTTAAAATATTTTTTAAAAGGTTGGATATTCTGGTGAAGGAAGTGACATTCTTGTGGTTTCGTCACATATAAATTGTTACAATGCAGTTTTGGACGTGTAACACCGACAGACAGACATATCCAGACTACGGCAGGAAAACCTGGCAAGGCAGCATTAATAGTCAGCTGCTTTATGAAGAAGTCCAGCAAATATCGAGATTTAGCTAAGATCTAAAAAGATCATTTTAAGCAGAATCTAAACAGCCGAATGAACTGTCCTGGTTCTGATCTGAACATGGTGGATGCTTATGCATCCATCATGCCTGTTTTTCCTCTACATCACAATTAAATGCTATATTTGTGTCGGTCTGTCACATTTAACCCCAAATCTGTAAAATGTGGAAAAAGTCCAGGAAATGTGGGATTTGTATTCATTTTGTCTCACAAACACATGAATATTTTTTCTGCCACCACATATTTATAAAAATACTTACAGCT